AGAGACCTCAGAAATCAACTACTCTGTTTTCTTAATCTAACTCATGAGAAAATTGAAGCTTTAAAAAGGGAAGTGACCTCCCTGACGGTGCCCAGTAGGTGATGGCAAAGCTGGATCGCAATGAAAATTTCTTGGATTTCGCTCTCCTTGGGCACTTTCCATTTGTGAGGGGCTGGCTCCTGGAGGAGGTTGTCCTTGAGTTGTTCCAGAACAGGAGAAGTGTGTCCTATCAATCAATGCAGAACAAATTTAGTGTTAGGAAAAGGGATTTTTGGTTTCTTAATGGAAGTTTACACAGAGCGAAGGTGGCAGGATGGCGTACAGTGAGAGAGGTTTTGAAAGATCTTCACCTGGGAGGTGATGAGAGGCCTCAGAAACTCTGAAGACTGCAGTGATTTGTTTAAAACATCTTCCATGGAAAATGATGTTAGCTTCAGAATATTTAGGAATGGAGTAACCTGAAGTCATTTTGAGGGGAATCAATTTGGGTATCAATAAACAAATACAAAGGAAAGTAAAGGAGTGATGTAATACCTTAGTTTAGAATTTCAGGAAGCTATAGACCTAGTCCAAAGGATGAATTTGGTATGTAGGCATGATAGGGTAAAGCAGGTGTGATGGGAAGAGGGGAGATTGGTAGAGGATGATGAGATTAAGTGATGCTGGAAAGAAAGGATTCATTATGAATTACTAACCAGTGACTGAATGGTGGAAGAGTGAAGGAACAGCAAAGATGCTTCTATTAGTACATTACCATTTAGGGAAAAGATGGAGAAAGATCATGTAAATAGGACCAGTTCATATGAAGAAAACCCCAGTACTATGTAGATTCTAATACTGCATTCTGCCTCTGTCTGGGGTGGTGGTGTCAAAGGATTCTTTGTAGGAAAAATTGGTAGCAGCCTTTAAAGTCATTATTCTTACACACGAATACCTTCAAAATATTTGTTATTCTGAACCACATCTTGACAACTACTGAGATGAAATCTTTGAGGTTATATTGATGGTCTCTTGAAGAGAAAGACAATGTAGAGAGAGCCTCAATTCATCCTTATTTTTTGTTAGTGAACTTCAAGAAGTGCACAGGTCCCAGGCAAGCCTTGTTCTCCAAACCCTTGGACGTTTACTCAGGTTTTCTCTGATTGGGTCACCTTCCCAGAGGAATGGTGCTAGCACACACCCTGGACACTTGTCCTTCAAATCAGCTTAACTATCACTTTTTTTTAGAAAACCTTTTCTTATTACCATAGGTGCTCCTCAATTGTACTTGCTATGCAAACCCCTACTACAATCTTTACCATACTGTAATGCAATGCCCAGTTTACTAGGCTGTTTCTCTTGCCTAACTTCCTTTGGGCCTAGTTTTTATCGTGTGTTATTCCCCAGCACCTTGCAGAGTACTTAGCACAAGATAGGCCATTAATAGGTTTACAGACTGTTGAACCAACATCTCTGACAATATAGGGGAAATAGAAATATCATCCAGAAATTATCTACAGAGAATGAATCTAAAATGGATTTTTAGAAAGAGGAATCTAAAATGAATTTTAGTTTCTTTTGGGGTAAGTTTTACACATAGCTCATGGGCTTTCTTTCCTTTTCTTCTTGTAGTCAGCCTTTGGCTATTTCAGTGTTTATCATTCAAGTACTAGAGAGAAAAGGGGAGACGCTGAAATTTAGATTAATTATGCTGTTTGGGAGCAGCTCTGAAAAAGGTTGGATGTGGTGGGTGAAATGAATAGTTAACTGGTAGTATGAGATTATCTATAGCTTTCAGTAACCCAGCCTTCCCCACTTAACCCCTAAACCAATGGCTTCCCAACATATGAAGCATATTTTATAAGCTTTTTTCAGCCTTACAGCGTTTGTTCCTTTGTTCTTGAGTACATATCAAGCCATACTCATATGTCCTGATTTTTGACTTGGAGAATTCACTCATCAGACCAACAGAAGAAATAGTTGGGCGGTGTGCTTCTCTAGGCTAATTTCAAGGTCCTGAGGAAAGAAGTTAAGTGTATTTTCTGAAACTGGTTCAAGGAACACTCTTTAAGTGAAAAAATTCAATCAAGAATAATATTACTTACATTTTGGAGAAGGATTTTTAATACAGAATTTCCATCTGTGATATATTTAAATTCTAAGCCTCAGGCAGCAATTTCAGAAAAGGGCCTCCTTTACTCTTTATTAGATACAAAATAAATAGTCCACTTTGAGGGACTGGGGCCTTTGCCTTACTTTCCCACCCCTGCAAAATGTGAGAGTTGGTTCCCTCATTCCTGAAATCACACAGGCTACTTTATTTCTTGCACAGCAAACTCTGTTATTGGCATTAAAATGGTTATCATAACTTCAAATACTTGAATTATTTTGTAAGTGCTTGTATCTAGTAACAAAGGAGAATGGTGAGCTGCCCAAAGTGGGCCTGCAGTCAATAAGTGGAAAGCTGTCAATACCGAAATACAGTACTCTCTCTTAATCTAGTTTTGATGCCTAAACAAAACAGGTTTTGCTATTTAGGACCGCTCAGCCATCTTGATTGAATACATTAAAAGGCAGTCCTGGACTTGCTTATTGCCAAGGTACTGTAACACTGATTTCTAAGTTGATGTACAGATCTCAATATAGGAGTATTTCACAACAGAGGCCTAACTTGTTTAAAAGCTGTCAAAGAGACCAACACTTAAACGGAAAGAACAAGCATTTTACACGCATACTTTATTATGCATTCTTCCAGTCCTAGAGAGGGGGAGGTTCCTATTGCGTAAAAGCTTAAAACTTTATTTCATATTTTTCATGACCTGTAGCATGCCTTTAGCCTTTGGGGGAGTGTCTGTATAAGACTAAGGCCCACTCTTTAATGGCTGAATGCATACATTTAACAGTACGTGGTGGATTAACTGCTCTGAGAATTGCCTTTTTTAAAAAAGTAAAGTGAAAAATAGACAAAGAAATCTATAACCTTAGCTGTCTTTCGGATTTGTTTTGACTGTTCTTGAACCAGCTCTGAGCCGGTGACAAGGATATTGAAAAGATGCACCTGAAACAGTATCTGCGGGCAGCTGCATTTGCCAATCGGCTTTATTGCTGCTTTCCAGCGGCGAAGGCGCAGCAGCAGTAACAGGGAAGCCAGAGCGAGCCTCCCCGGCAGCGGCGGCGGCGGCGGCGGCACCGGCACCAGCGCAGTTTCCCCTCTCCCCAGCCCTGACTCTACGCGCACATGCGCACTGCGCCCGCAGCCCTGGACCATTTGTCAGGACTACTCGTGAGACGGAGAAAAAAAAAAGAGAAATTTTGGGGGTAAGAAGCGTTTGATCGGATCTAATCTCTAATTAATCCGAAGATTTGTCCGTGCAAAAGCCATTCATTTATTTTTCTGGGTGAGGATGAAAGTTAAGAGACCAATAGAGAGAAGGAAGCGCACCCTCGTCTTGTGAAACAGATCAGGGGAGGGGAAAGGACAGAAGGGGTTTCTCCCCCACTTCTCTGCGCCTCTGGGAAAGAGGAGAAAACTTAATCCTGGGGAAAAAAGTGGGCAAGTGACTCGGAAACGGCTGGAGGGGGAGTCTCTGGGCATCTCACTCTGAAGTAGTGAGTGCGAGTGTGAAAGAGGAACAAAAGAGAGAGAAAAGAGAAAGGAAAAAATGGGGGGAGGAGAGACTTGTATTTTTTTCTTTGCGCGCACACGGGGAAGGGTGTGTGGGGCCGTGCGGAAGGGAGCCGGGGCGAGGCGGCCGCGTCGGGCTCTCGCCGGCGCGCAGGCGGCGGGATGCGTGTGGGCCCCCTCCCCCGCGCCCCCCCGAGCTTGTCACTTTGGTCGCTTTCATGACACCGGGCGCGGGGTGGGGGAGCGCGGCGGCGCCGGGCTCCGCCAGGGTGCGTGCCCGAGTGGGCGCCGCGGAGCCGCAGCCCGGGCGG